TGAACATAGAGTCGAGAATTATAGCTTCTTGTCGTCGAGTAGTCATTGCTTGATTGAAGATATGTGTTGAAGATGTCCAAGTAGAAATCCTGAATATTGGAGAGCCACTTGTTGTAGTAAAATAACATGGCATTGCATGCCGAGATGTCGAGGTTCACAAAGACGTCGTGGTTGGTGAAGTAGTAAAACTTGCGAAGTAGCAACAATAGAGTTTCCCGGTGCCGAAGATAATAAAGATGAAGTCGCCCCACCATGATGACAAAGTTGTATTGCCGTAATGAAGTGAACACAAGTCGGCGGCAACAGAAGCAAACCGGTAGTGAAGACGCGCAGTTGTGAAGATAAAAGCACCAGTCGGCGGCGGCATAATCAGTCGGCGACGGAAGATGATGATGTCCATCAGTAGTGGTAGCTGTATAAACCAGACGTAGAGGTAAGGGCACTAGTCAGCAACAGACGAGACGACCGGCGATTAAGATGTAGATGCCCAACAACGGCGGCATAATAAGCCAGCCGTGCATGCGGAAACTCCAGTCGGCGACGGACGAGGCGGCCGGTCGGTGAAGACGTAGACGCCCAACAACGGCGGCATAATAGGCCAGCGTGCAGGCGGAAACACCAGTCGGCGGCGATGGAGGCAGGCCGGTGGTGGGGTCGTAGACGCCCAACAACGACGGCATAATAGGCCAGCCGTGCAGACGGAGATACCAGTCGGCGGCGGCGAAGGCAAGCCGGTCGGTGAAGACGTAGACGCCCATCAACGGTGGCATAATAGGCCAGCGTGCAGGCGGAAACACCAGTCGGCGGCGATGGAGGCAGGCCGGTGGTGGAGTCGTAGACGCCCAACAACGACGGCATAATAGGCCAGCCGTGCAGACGGAGACACCAGTCGGCGGCGGCGCAGGCAAGCCGGTCGGTGAAGACGTAGACGCCCATCAACGGTGGCATAATAGGCCAGCGTGCAGGCGGAAACACCAGTCGGCGGCGGACGAGGCGGCCGGTCGGTGAAGACGTAGACGCCCAACAACGGTGGCATAATAGGCCAGCGTGCAGGCGGAAACACTAGTCGGCGGCGGACAAGGCGGCCAGTCGGTGAAGAGGTAGACGCCCAACAACAGCGGCATAATAGGCCAGCCGTGCAGACGGAGATACCAGTCGGCGGCGGCGAAGGCAAGCCGGTCGGTGAAGACGTAGACGCCCATCAACGGTGGCATAATAGGCCAGCGTGCAGGCGGAAACACCAGTCGGCGGCGATGGAGGCAGGCCGGTGGTGGAGTCGTAGACGCCCAACAACGACGGCATAATAGGCCAGCCATGCAGACGGAGATACCAGTCGGCGGCGGCGAAGGCAAGCCGGTCGGTGAAGAGGTAGACGCCCAACAACAGCGGCATAATAGGCCAGCCGTGTAGGCGGTGACACCAGTCGGCGGCGGCGAAAGCAAACCGGCGGTGAAAATGTAGACGCCTGACAACGGTGTTGTGACCAACCAACCGTATAGGCGAAGACACCAGTCGGCGGCGACGACGGCGAGCCGGTGGTGATGTTCTGACTGATCCATTCCTGGAGCATAAGAGATAAGCTTAAAGCCATGAATCCCTTTTATGCATATCTGGATTTGGATCCTGCAGAACAAACATATAGGATGAGTAGTTTCTGATGTAAATATAATACTCGAGAAAAATTCAAGCAGTTTAAAATATTTATAAATATGTATTTCTCCTCTTGTCAATTTTGATTTCCCCGAGCAGATGACTCTGTACGTTTAAACACTCTGTCCGACTAGTCATAACCATCAAGCACCGGGAGTCGGCCTAGGCACTTCCCAAACATGCATATGAGTGACATGAGTTCGTCATTAATGGAACAAAGTTTCACGGATCAGAATTTACTACTCGGGTACTTTTGCAATTATTAAGAGCAGAAAATAAATTTATCTCATCTCTATGCTTTAGATTTATTCCGAATAATACTTAGCACCTTGCGTTACTCGGTCCATCCAACGAGCCCCCGGGTGCTAGGAATCGGCCCAAAGGCAACGATCCATTGGCAAACCAAACGGAAAGCATAGGAAGATAGAACTCCATAACTCGATAGGTACTTTTGTACTCAGATTATGTCGCAAGCAATCAAGATAAATATTATGAAAAATATGATATAACATCTGTAGCCCCCGACTCACTACTCAATGGAAGACCAATTGGTGTAGTGAGGCAGAGGGAAAGGAAAAATATCATATAAAGAATAAAATAAATGATGACTTAGCTTTGTAATATTCCCCTTGGTGATGGCAGAAGTGGCCAATGTGGGAACAAAGTCGTCCATCAATAACAATGAAGACACCAGTCGGCGGCGACGAAGGCGGTCGACGGTGAAAGCGAAGACGCCCAACAGCGGCGGCATAATAGGCCAGCCGTGTAGGCGGAGGCACCAGTCGGCGGCGACGGAGGCAGGCCGGCGGTGAAGATGACGATGCCCATCAACGGTGGTGTGACCAACCGACCGTATAGGCGGGGACACCAGTCGGCGGCGACGGAGGCAGGCCGGTGGTGAAGTCGTAGACGCCCAACAGCGGCGGCATAATAGGCCAGCCGTGTAGGCGGAGGCACTAGTCGGCGGCGACGGAGGCAGGCCGGCGGTGAAGATGACGATGCCCATCAACGGTGGTGTGACCAACCGACCGTATAGGCGGGGACACCAGTCGGCGGCGACGGAGGCAGGCCGATGGTGAAGTCGTAGACGCCCAACAGCGGCGGCATAATAGGCCAGCCGTGTAGGCGGAGGCATGGACGCCCATGAACGGTGGTGTGACCAACCAACCGTATAGGCGAGGACACCAGTCGGCGGCGACGGAGGCAGGCCGGCGGTGAAGTCGTAGACGCCCAACAGCAGCGGCATAATAGGCTAGCCGTGTAGGCAGAAACACCAGTCGGCGGCGGCGAAGGCAAGCCGGTCGGTGAAGACGTGGACGCCCATGAACGGTGGTGTGACCAACCAACCGTATAGGCGAGGACACCAGTCGGCGGCGACGGAGGCAGGCCGGCGGTGAAGTCGTAGACGCCCAACAGCAGCGGCATAATAGGCCAGCCGTGTAGGCGGAGGCATGGACGCCCATGAACGGTGGTGTGACCAACCAACCGTATAGGCGAGGACACCAGTCGGCGGCGACGGAGGCAGGCCGGCGGTGAAGTCGTAGACACCCAACAGCGGCGGTATAATAGGCCAGCCGTGCAGGCGGAGGCACCACTCGGCGGCGACGGAGGCAGGCCGGTGGTGAAGTCGTAGACGCCCAACAGCGGCGGCATAATAGGCCAGCCGTGTAGGCGGAGGCACCACTCGGCGGCAACGGAGGCGGGCCGGCGGTGAAGTCGTAGACGCCCAACAGCGGCGGCATAATAGGCCAGCCGTGTAGGCGGAGGCACCACTCGGCGGCGACGGAGGTAGGCCGGCGGTGAAGTCGTAGATGCCCAACAGCGGCGGCATAATGGGCCAGCCGTGTAGGCGGAGGCACCAGTCGGCGGCGACGGAGGCAGGCCGGCGGTGAAGTCGTAGACGCCCAACAGCGGCGGCATAATAGGCCAGCCGTGTAGGCGGTGGCACCACTCGGCGGCAACGGAGGCAGGCCGGCGGTGAAGTCGTAGATGCCCAACAGCGGCGGCATAATAGGCTAGCCGTGTAGGCGGAGGCACCAGTCGGCGGCGACGGAGGCAGGCCGGCGGTGAAGTCGTAGACGCCCAACAGCGGCGGCATAATAGGCCAGCCGTGTAGGCGGAGGCATGGACGCCCATGAACGGTGGTGTGACCAACCAACCGTATAGGCGAGGACACCAGTCAGTGGCGGCAGAGGCAGCGAGCGATACTTGGTAATCTTGATGCGAGATGCATGTGCGTAGATATAGTCCCTGCCTTGAAATACAAGATGAATCTTGGTGACTTGGGAAATTCAACCATTGCCTTCATGGTCTTGGTGATGATGATTTTGCTCTGTATACGCTTGACGCTAAATTGTAGAGTAATCTTTCTGGGCAGAGCAGTATTGATCGATGTGCATGCATAGCTGTATTTAGGCCGACGGCTTCCTCTGATTGGTCGGCTGGTTTCCCATGCACACAGAAAGTACCGGATTGGCTTATGTGCTTGTTACATGCAATTGCTAATGACGCTGGCCCATGATGATTGCTCCAATCGATTGGCTGCGAGGACAAGTTGACTCGGATTTGGATTAATAATTGGATCTCGTCGGGAGATACGATACCAACAAGATGCCGGCGCCACAGATGCCGGCGGCTGAGAATTGATACGCATCCCTGAATAGATTAAAACAGATGATGACTGCGGTGCGGCCACCTTCTTCAATGAAACTGATAAACATAGCGGCGGCCGGACGAGATCAAGGTAGTCTTGAACCTTCCCGACTTGATTAGGTCCAAGTGAGAAATCGAGAGCTTTCCGAAGTCGTCGACGAAGAAACCGAAGCAGGAGATTGGTTGTAAAGCGACGACGAATCCGGCAATGCTGAAGGTTAGTTTCCATCGCACTTGTCAATGGGAAACTCGACGCACCCCTACCTGGCGCGCCAACTGTCGAAACATGAATTCGGCAATAATAAAATGGGGTAGCGCACGAGACCTAAAAGTGGATGGATGTGGAGACAAAGGATTTAGACAGGTTCAGGCCCTCTCAATGAGAGGTAATACCCTACTCCTGTTTGGGGATTTGAATCCGCCGGGTGTGTATTGATCTGACGATCTAGTTGTCTCATGCCCCTAGAGGGGCTCCCTGCCCTCCTTATATAGGACGGGGGGCAGGATTACAAGATAGAAACCTTAACCAATACGGTATCGGTTTCCTAAATCTACTTTACAATCTTATCAAACCAGGACTTTAGGCCGTTTCATAATATACAGGGAAACGTAATACCCAAGTCATGATCTGTTACATATTTTATATATATAAGTTATCCCCTATAACTAGTCGGATAACCATGCCGTGTGGGTATGGGGTACCCATAATCTCCACATCCTCCTCCTCCCACCTCTACTCCGGCCACCGGCCGCCTCCTCCCACGCTCCCCCCGCCGCCGCCGCCGCCGCCGCCGCCGCCATCGCCACCCGCCTCCTCCTTCTAGCAGTAGTAATAAAGGAAGGAAGAAAATCCACCGCCCTACCCCTATCTATCCGTTGCCTCACGTCCGTTTCCCACATTTTCCGCTTCCTTCGTCCATCGCCATCTATTAACCCGCCCCCCCACGATTCCTGCCGAGAAATTTCTCCCCCCCACAGAGAGGGAGGCGATCCCTAGCCTCGTCCTGAATCTCGCGGCGCCGCCAATTCGATCTGCCCGCGCCGTCTCAGGGCGGCGAATCTTGGGCTGGAGTCGGGGGGAGAGATCCGGGATCTTCCTTTTCTTGGGTGTTCCCGGGACGCAAATCTTGCGGCCGCCGGGCAATGTGACTGGGGTTCTTGTGGGGGGTGAGGCGATTCGCGCGCGCATTCGGTGCTGAATCTTGCGGGGATGGAGCATGTGATCGGGGGGAAGTTTAAGCTGGGGAGGAAGATTGGGAGCGGATCTTTTGGGGAGCTATACCTTGGTACGTTCCTCGTGGGGTTCTCGGATCTCTCGTCTATCGCCGCTCGTTGCGAGGCACCGTTCGTTTTTCTTCTTCTTACTGTTTACGCTGTTTGTGATGATGTCGTTGATTCATGGATTGTTTCGATTACAGGTGTGAATATACAGAGCAGCGAGGAGGTAGCCATCAAGTTGGTATGTGAAGATGATTTCGTTTCTGATATATAAGCCTTTTCTTACGCCAATGTATATATTGTAGTAATTAGTATTGCATTGGTTTCTTTTGTGCTGATGTTGTGATGCGAATATGGTTTGTTCTGCCCTCCTAGAAAAGATTAGATCACCTGAGGTGTAACAGAGTTTGCATTGCTGCATGATCAGAAATTTGAATGAAGCTACATGTATACGTCCTTGTGAAATCGTTGACATGACCTCTTGCTTAGTATCATACTCTTTCATACAAGTAGAAACCAGGTCTTCTAAATTTTTTTGGTTCTCCGACCTAACTGGTCTATTAGAGATGTTCAGAATTGGGAAGTAAGAAAAAAGAGGTGAAGATTTTTCAGCTTCCAATTGGATCGTTGACATTATTTAATTGCTTCATCTAGGTGATGTGTGTGGTTTACGAGAGCACTTATTCTGAAACATCTGTAAATAACATGAGGCAGCCCACCAACCCTTGTCATACTATATTATCTGCTCTTGTAACATTAGGACTCAGGGCAGCCGCCCGTGATTCTGTTCACATCCTGTAAGACCTGCAAACAAAGCTTTTCCGTCTGGGGAAACGAAGCCTTTTGGAATACCTTGTGCATGTTTTGGCTAGGTTGGGTAGCTGTGAAGCATTGGTTATTGTCTATTTCAATGTTTCAAAGCAGCATTCAAGGATTCTCCTGATATTATTGCTCCGGTTCAGTGGTCAATGCACTTCTTTTAGAAGCTTCTATTATTTCGATATGATTGTTAGTAGTTTGGTCACATCTACTTTTCAAGCAACTTACCTTGTAAGTTCACGTAGTTGCTAGTTTTGTGAACCAGCTTTGCCTTTCTAATCATGAATGCCATTTCTATATTGTAAGCCTGTATGCATTGGATTGCTTTCTTAAATGGTGCAATCCTTGTTCTATGAGAAAATGTTGGTAATAATGAAAATAAGGTGTTCGGAAACTTGGAAAGTGTATTTCTATATTGACATGAATAGTCACTGTCAGCACTGATTACTTGTCCTTGCTGACACTGGGACAAATTACCTAAACCTTTTCTGTCATCTCTTATTTTGTTAGGAATCTGTAAAATCAAGGCATCCTCAGCTTCATTATGAGTCAAAACTATACATGCTTCTGCAGGGGGGAAGTAAGTGTAATACGGGAAACTGTTTATCTATTTAAATAAAATTGTTCACTTATTATGTCTTGGTTATGTTCAGCTGGAATTCCTCATCTGAAGTGGTTTGGAGTGGAGGGGGAGTACAATGTCATGGTTATCGATCTTCTTGGTCCAAGTTTAGAGGACTTATTCAACTACTGCAACAGAAAGTTTTCTCTTAAAACAGTACTTATGCTTGCTGATCAGATGGTGGGTTTTTCTTACTGAATTCTATTATTTTGGCTGTTAATTTTGGTTACCTGTATGACTAAATTTCAATAAATTAACGATCAAGGAAAGTAAATTTCAAGACTTTATTTGTCTGATTTAACCACTAACTTCCTGTTCTATACAGATCAACAGGGTAGAGTACATGCACACTAGGGGGTTTCTACATCGTGATATCAAGCCAGACAACTTCCTTATGGGTTTAGGCCGCAAAGCAAGCCAGGTTTGTCCCATTCATCTGCAGTTGCTGGTAGATATAATTCATTATTTTTCTGCGCTTTGGATGTTGTTGGTTGCCTGGTCTGTATAATTTTGTATTGATAACATCTTGATTCGAGTATTTGGCCTGGTTTCTAAGTATCATCTTTTTTGGTGCTATGAAGTTTTGTCAATTGGCAGTAGTATCTTCAATTATACTTTCTAAGAGAGGCTATGATATTACCAACAACAGCTGTCAGCTGTGCTCTGTGTGCTTGATGATTATACTAGTTTCTTTATGGAGAAATTATCTTGTATAATAAATTTTAGTATTTTTTAGAAACATCTTTTTTATGAATGTAGAAAGACTTTGGAGAATTTAAACTGCTGACTGTGATCATCGATTTACCATACGTTTTATTATTTCGTAAGAACTTGAAGAATACAAGGATAATATTTCTGTTTTCTCTTATTTGTGCATACTGTTACTCAGCATATGCATATCAACTGCCTTTCTAGTACTGCTGCTAACTGATGATCGAAAGCCTGCATTTACTTCATATGTGATATATCTTACAATGAATAACATCAAGAAATAAGCACAACTTTTTGTAGACATTGTTGTGAGTGATCTTTACAATTCTGTAACAGGTTTATGTCATCGACTATGGTCTTGCAAAGAAATACCGGGACCTCCAAACTCATAAGCATATACCTTACAGGTAATTAGAAATTCTTCTCTAGTAAATGTTTTAGAAAGTATTTATGTTTACACCTGGAAGATTGTTGTAGTAGAGCACTCAGCTTATGAAAAATCATACTAAAGTATATTGTTTTGGTAGCAACACCGTTTTTATCTGACAGAGCTCAAAGTGCTTAATTTAGAATTTTTCATTACCATAACTGTGCTTGGCACACTACCGGTGGAGCAGTATCTGCTATTAACCATATTGGCAAGCAGTATCTGCTATTAACTATATAGATAAGCCCACACAATTTTGTTATCTGTTTTTACTTCTTGAAATTAAGAGAAATGCTTGATAGTAGTGAGTAATGACAGCAGCATTGCAACAATTTGATCAATGATGATTGTGATAATTGATAAACCATTTTCTGTTATGTTTTAGTACTATACTGTGACATTGGTCAGTAACACGGGTTACACTATCACTATTCACTACTTAGCAGTTACCTCCTTCATACTAATAGTAAAAAGTTTACCAGTTTATCTACCATTATATTTCTATGCATGATTATGCTTCATACTTTTCTGGGGATATATGTTTGAAGCTTACATGTTTTTCTTTCCTACCATAGGGAGAACAAAAATCTCACAGGAACAGCACGCTATGCTAGTGTAAACACCCATCTTGGAGTAGGTAAGTGTCTTTACCTGTTACTGATTCGTTTTCATCAGAAGAGATTTTATTTTTTAAAAATCTGAACTAACGCAAACTAATATGTATTTAAGAGGTGCAAAATGTGGCAACACTGAAAAGTTATGAACAAGTGTAGCTCCTTTGAAACAAATAAAGTTTAGCTTGCAACAAAATTAGTCAATTGCACTCTGACTGCTAGTATATGCGTTCTTTTAATTCTGTTTTTCACTACAGAACAAAGCAGGAGAGATGATTTAGAGTCTCTGGGCTATGTGCTTATGTATTTCTTAAGAGGAAGGTGAGACGATGCTTGTTTTCTATTTTTTAAAATTCCATTTTATACGACAATACATTTTATTGATCTATGTTAACTTGTCCATCTCAGCCTTCCTTGGCAAGGTCTAAAAGCTGGCACAAAAAAACAGAAATATGACAAAATTAGTGAAAAGAAAATGCTTACTCCAGTTGAGGTAATGGAAATTGGTTTCCATGCAAAAAAAATCTATGAAGAAGCATGACATTTTTTGATTTAATTGCAACTTAACCTTATCATATTTTACACAATTTTGTATAGGTTCTCTGTAAATCTTATCCCACAGAGTTCATTTCATACTTCCATTACTGTCGATCTTTGCGATTTGAAGATAAACCAGACTACAGCTATTTGAAGAGACTTTTCCGAGATCTATTCATCCGTGAAGGTATGCTCAAATATAATACAATGAAGTATCTCTGCATACACATCTAAAATGATTTCCTCTCAATTCTTGCAGGGTACCAGCTTGATTATATATTTGATTGGACGAAGCAAGGTTCAGAAAGTAACAGATTGCGAGTATGTCTGCTATTCCTTTTTCTAACTTTTTTTGGTAATGCAAAGCTTTACCGTACTAAATGTGTAGCATCTTTTCCTTGCTTCCAGTCAAGTGGAAGGACAAGTGGGTTGGTGGGACCATCTGCAGAACGGACTGAACGAGCTGCAGGTTTGTCAGTAGCATAGACATTTTTTGAATTTATATTTAGGAAATAAGTTTGGAAAATAACAGGGGTTTTTTGGGGTGTTGTCTCAACAGCAAGACAGGATGTTCCTGACAGATTCTCTGGTACAGTCGATCCATTTGCTAGAAGAACTGGCTCTGGTTCTGGCCATTACGGAGAGCACACAAAGCACAGAAATATATTGGATTCATTACTTGCACCCAAGACGGTAAGAAATTGAGCAGCTAGATCACCTTCTAGCAGTATCCTAAAAAAACTGCTCAAATTAGCAGGATAATGAGACGGATGTTTCTTCGTTAGTCTTGACCATCTTTTCGCAGAAATCTTTTGTTGTGTTTTTACATTACGTTGCTGTTGATGATAGCTGGAACTCTGTATTCTGGAAGGCTTATGTCAATTTTACCATGCGTGCTAGGCTGTTGATTTAGATAAAAGAAGGCCCACATCATCATCTCGTAATGGGAGCACATCAAGGAAGGCTCTCTTGTCAAGCAGCAGACCAAGTTCTGGAGATCCCATTGATCCGAACCGCAGTAACCTAATTCCAACCAGCAGTGGCAGCAGTCGCCCATCAACTATGCAGAGGCTTCACCAGTCAACAGGACTTGAGACCAGGTCCTCGCTTACCAAAACTGCAAGAAATGTCCATGATGATCCCACTTTGAGGACCTTTGAACGCCTTTCAATCAGTGCTGACAGAAGGAAATAATGCTTCGAAGAGCAAAAGATGTGAGTTGCTGCTCCAGTGAGGACACTGGGGATTCCTTCACACGATGATTACTGATCAACAAGTAAAAACCATTCTGTGCTACAGATGATGCTGAGATATGCTTAAGAGTGAAGTTTGCTTACTGAATCTTGGCGCAAAAGAAATGGTTAAAGAAATCATTTTACACGCCATTCAGAAGAACCCGGACCAGCAACTGTGCTGGTCCAATTAATGCTGATGTTGATCAAATATTTGTAGAAATGTTATTGAAATAAAGCAGTTCATTACTAGCAAAATATGTACTATCACGTAGTATTTCCTTTGTGCACTGCAACTAGAACTTCTGCCACTCTGCCACTATACTCTTAAGATAATCAATATCCTTTTTTGCCTTAGTGCCCTTTAGATACTCCGTCACATTATTTCCTTAAAAACTTGGAGATCATGTAATCGTTATTAATATATCATACGATCAGATATCGTTATTCAACTAGCAGTTACTTTTCTAACTATCAAAATATTTGTTTCACTTTTTGACAACTGATTTAACTCAAATATGCTCTAGCAGTAGGCAAATTTGAGTGAACTGAATCTTCTTTGTTCCAAGAACATTTGTGAATCTGAGGCTATTGCCAGTGGTGAACTACTACGGTTGGGTTCAGAGCTGTTGTGTTCTGTTGAATATTTCTCAATAACCTGTAATAAAGTACTATGCACTTACCTCAGCTAGGAATGCGTTTGTTTGTTTGTTTTTTTTTGAAATATGCAAAATGCATATCTTTGTATTAAGATAAAAAAAGGCTGTTACAACCAGGCACAACTACATGTACAGGAATGAAGTTGTACATGGGTCCTGATCATTTTTTGCTAGGTAATGCCCCCAGCTGATGTTGCTGAAGTTGTGTTAGGGCTTCGTGGTTGATGGAACATTCTTTTTTTTTTTCGCGAACGCGCAAAAGATGGAACGTTCTTTTATATCTTAAAAAAAAAACTCCGGCAGTATATAATCGGAACAGAATACAGAGCAGTGAGCAGCACTGCCAACGAAACTGGAGGCAACACAAGAACAAGTACCAATATGTTAGGGTTAATCTGCACTTGCACCTTATTGCAAGAAATCCATGTGACTGGGCTGAGCAGTTCTCTCTTGACTCGATTAAAGATTACATGTGACGATGTTTGTACCTAATTATTTTGTACACCAAAGTTTAAACCACTGAATGCGCTCAGAAAGCTTATCAATATATGGCAGAACAGATAAGGCCCGCCATGTATATTGATCACAGTAAGGGAACAAGTAGACACTCCCTCCGTCTCATAATAAGTTAATTTAGTACGAGATGTGGCATATCCTAGTACTACGATTTTGGACAAAGACATGTCTAGATTCGTAGTTCTAAGATATGTCACGTCCCGTAATAGAGTAACTTATTTTCTGACGAAGGTAGTATATGTTAAGAAAAGCATATACATGCACATAAATTGCTCCAGAATAATAAGACTAATGGTAATACATCAATTATAGATAATGAACATTGAAACCAAAATTCTGCACATGCACTTTCCTCTGTTATTCAGTTATATCAAAGCAGAGTTTAGCTTCATCCCAGGGACCATTGATCTCAAACTTGTATTCCTGAATTCTTATAAGCCAGTAAGGGCAAACAATTGAGATAAAAACAAGCAGTGCCAGCAGTAGGATGAAGAACATGTGATGCAATTGGTATGTGACGCCTAGGGTCATGATCATCAGAGCAAAGGAGAAGAGCAGATGAAGTCTAAGAGAGAACTTCTTAATACAAAACGCGACGAGGGGCACAAACAGGAAGATCTGCAAGGAGAATAGCATGATTGCAAAGACATGCAGCCTAGATGGCAGGCGCGAAGCTACAAGGACGGATGCTACTATCGATGCATTCAAGGAGATATTGCTGGTCAATTTTGGGTTGTTGAGTGCACCAGGTGGCCTTATAGTTGAACCAGAATAATCATGCAGAAAGAGGTGAACCAACAGAAGGCATACAGCAAGTGCCCATATGGAATCTGAACTGATGGACCTAGTGAGGGTTTGATAAATCGGTGCCAAAACATACAGACCACTGATGAAGAATGATGTATTGAGGACATACTTGGAGAGAAGCTTGAGCGAGAACGGACTTGCCGTGAGCAAGAGCATCGAAAACCCGGCAAGAAGTAGACTAGTGTCTAGCTTCAAAAGAGTGACCTCATCAATGACCAAGTTCAGTGTATAGGTCCATGTTGAAACCACAAGAGCAACAATGCAGAGATACTGAGATATGGAGACCGAGTCGATCATCACTTTCAGGAGGTCCCTCTTGACAACATTGGCGTTCATAACCATCTCCTCAAGGAATGACTCGTCCGTGTGGTTATCGTCATAGCCTGGCTGCCTTCCCCCATAGGCAACTTTTCTCCACTTTGGTCGACTCTCATTGTTCATATTGTATTTGCTACTATGTTAACAACCAGGGGCGGATCCAACTTGGGAAACTTTTGGGGGGAACAAACAAACTGCTACTTGTATTAAGGTTAAGGCTCTGAAATTAAGAGAAGGGCTTCTTCCAGATCTAGAAGAGAAGCTAGGGTTAACAAACGCAAGCGAATTCCAGACAAAAGTAGTCCCGGTGGGATTGAGAGATGAATCAGAAAGAGGATGTGGATGCTCACCAGGATCCCCTCCCATCCCCTGCTCTGCTCGCCAGATGGAGACCGCCGCCCCTCGCCTGTTGTGTTCAGCCGCTACTCGTCTTGGCGCAAGGAGCGGAGGAGACGACGAGACGCGAGATTCCTCTTTATTTTACGCCAACGGAGCGAAGGGAAGATACCCGTGTTACAGGAGATTTCTAGCTATGAGGTTTTATCAAAAAAAAAAAAAAAAGTAAATTTCACAAAACTACATGTTTTATGGTTCAAGTTACAGAAAACCACAAATATTGACACTTGGCACTTAAGTATATATATATTTTAGTAGTTTAGTTTCACAAAACTACACTGTCGATGTATGGATTCACCTTTTGAGATGACGTGGTCGTTCCATCTAGGATGAGGATGTGGCACCCTATTAATTTCGTGCGATGGCTGGTAATAGGATGATATGTCCTCGTCCTAGATGAAACAGTCACATCATCTCACGGGTGAATCCATTCATTGATAGTGTGGTTTTGTGAAACGACACTACAAAAATATATATACTTAAGTGCCAAGTGTCAAAAGTGTGTGTGGTTTTCTGCAACTTGGACTACAAAACGTGTAGTTTTGTGAAATTTACTAAAAAAAAGTATTTCTAATTATGTGGGTTAATTGTCTCAAAATTCATTCTAATCAATTTTATACTATGAAATATATACATATATGGGTTCATTAAATAAGATTATTCTGGTCATTTGTCTATCCTCCTAAGAGCAAGTTTAATAGTACAGCCCGCTCTTAGCTCCAATTCTTCCACATCATCATCATATAGTATAATTTAAGAGACACATGATACAATAGTTGTGCTCTAATAATAAGTTGCTGACACATTATATATTTATTTTAATTAACGGAACCATCTATGTTTATTTATTTATCTCTCTTCCTCGCGTTGCGTGGACCAGCTTCCCCTCGTGTTGTATCTGTGGGCCCAACTTCTTAGAGTTCGTGAGCAGCTCGGCGACTAAATAGTCGCCCACTCACCTTCCTTCTTTCCTCCAGCGCATCACGCGAGCTAACGTGGAACCATTATCGCCAGCGTTAGGGCTCTATTGTACATGCTCTAAGGCTGAGTTCGGTTTGAGTGGTCGGGAACAAATCTTCCGCGCACGGAAAACGGAGCGGTCTATTAGTGCGTGATTAAGTAAGTATTAGCTTATTTTTTTCAAAGTTGGATCAATATGATTTTTTTAAGCAACTTTCGTACAGAAACTTGGTAGCAACGAACAAAGCCTAATATGTTCTAAATTAACTAGAATTTCGATTTTTATGGGACAGAGGTAGTATTTGCCAACTCCTGGATCTAAGAAACTGAAACGAATTCGAATTTTTTTCTCGGAGACAGAAACATATATGTTTGGAAAATTTGGAAACAGAAAATTTCATATATGTTTCCTAAAAACATATCCGTCGAAAACGAATTTGGAAACATATATCCCAAACTATCCGTTTAGGATATATGTTTCCTGAAACTATCCGTCAAAAACGAATTTGGAAAATTTCAGGAAATGAATTCAGATATTTTTCTCGGAAAACAGAAACGGATATGATAATGCTACTATCCGTCGAAAACGAATTTGGAAAATTTCAGGAAACGGATTCATATTTTTTTCTCGGAATCGGAAACGAAGTGTTTCACATGTGCAATTTATTAGCTCCAGACTTTTCTACTCTAAATATTTATATTTATACTATGTGCCATAGTAATAACAATTGCAGTTATAGATGAATATAGTTCTCTTTCTCCAAGAAAATAAAGTGTACGACTACTTGTATTATTAATGATAAAAACTAAAAATATTGATTTATTGTTTCAGAAAAGATATCGAGCTACATCTCTTCATTGATTTTAGAAGTTCGGCTTAAGGGGTTTTTATATTCCGATAAATAAGTGTTACCGTATTCGATAATATTCGATTTTGTTTATGTATCCGTGTTTCTGATTCCATTCCAATTTTGAAAAGAATATGGAAACGGAAACGATAAGTGGTTTTCGTCCGTTTCCAAAGTGTTTTCATCCATACTTACTCTACCTTTATCTCAATTTTTTTACTACTTTAAAACTAACTATTTCTTTATGATGACTGATGGTCCACATGCCACTTTATCCATGAGCCACCATCGTTCCTCCTCTCCGCCTTTATATGCACAACCAGATGTCTTTTTTCCTTGTCTTTTTTCCTTCCCCGTCATCATACACGCTATTGTGTCATCGGACTTGGGAGGCAGAAGCCGATCCGATGAAGAGCTAGATCAGGCGGCTCCTTCTTATTGGATCCGATGAGAGTTAGTGTGCGAAATGGTTGTATAGTGACTGAACTTAGAGATGGATAGAATTGGGTTTCTAGTCAGCAACACGGGTTAGGTGTTGTTGAAGGCGGCTCAAAGATGATCTAGATAGAATTCGCATGGATGAGGTGAGATTTTTTTGTTTTGTAGACAGTCTCTTTTTAAAATGTCTCAAACATAAATTACTTGGTTTCGTAGACAGTCTCTTTTTAAAATGTCTCAAAACATAATTACATGCAGTCCATCCATTTATAAACCAAATTATACAACTATGACATACAATCAAATTCAGACCCAAATGAACAAAACATTAAATTTTATCCTACCAGTCCAGACTGGGTATATTGCTGTTTTAATTTTCCAACTACTGAAAATGAGAGAAAAAATTGCTAACTCAGAAAATGGAAGGATTTTCCATCTAACTCAGGAAATGGAACGATTTTCCATTCTTCAATGTAGAAGCACGCCTACCATTTGAAAAATTGAAACAGATAGCGTCTGCCATTCGGCACGACTGAGCAAGTGAATATTCCAGTCTCAGTAGGTGGTGTAACATTCAATAACCCGGTGCAGCGACTCAAGACTGCAATATGCTGCACGAGCAAAACACGGCAATCTCAACTGGTAACGAGTAGAGTCCACACAAATCACCAGTGATCATATGTTGGAAACTATTTAACAGCCATCAGTCATACAAAATCTCTAAAGCACAACCATGCTCAATTTAAATATGAAATAGGTTCCATTAAACAGTAGTACTAATTCTGGCTCTAAGACCATTGAAACATATTGCTGATCCAACTTGGAACCAAAAACTCAACATGGCACTACTAAGCCGCGGCAGTCTTCTTGAGCTTCGCAAGCTCTTGCCTGATAGCACCTCCCCTCTGTTCATACAGAAAACATTGGTGTAAGCTAGTGAGTAGTTATAAACAGGAGTAAACCAATTGAGAATAGGATGTCTGACCTTGATCTTGGCCAACATAACCTTGAACCTGTCAAAGTCATTGAGTGACGCTCTCCTCTTCTGGACAATTAGCTTCTTGCCCCATGAGCTATTCTCCCACTTGTTCTTAACATCTTAAATAGAATAACCACCACTCAGATTAGACATGGACAGAAATAAATAACTGCTGATAGGATTGGTAGCACAACATTCATACTAACCAGCCTCCTCCATAGCCTTAATCAAAGTTGTCTTCTTCGGGACACGTTTGATGTCAATCTTGATGTCAGTCAGGGAAAGCCTCTTGAAGTTGATCTGGCACCTGACCATGTCAGGAGCATCCACAAGTGCCTGGTGATTCACAGAAAACAGAGTTATGTGATATCCAATAATCAAAGCACTACAATATAATTAACTCCGATTAGAAAAATGAGCAGCGATAACATAATAGTGGCACTAATGCATCCGCCAATGGAGGCACCATCAACACTATCAATCATAGGTAAACCAAAACCTCATTGTCAATAAATAGTTCATTATTGTAAATTGCCAAGTAGTCCGAGCTAATGCTGATAAACTTCTAGACTTGACGCACATTTTTTCAGATCAAGTACTCCCTCCGTACTCGTAAAGGAAGTCATTTAGGACAGCGACACGGTCTCCAAAACACAACTTTGACTACTTGTTTCTATAAAAATATTTATTGAAAAGTGATATATGTATACTTTTATGAAAATATTTTTCAAGACAAATCTATTCATATAATTTTTACATCTTCAAACTCAACAACTTGAGAGTTATTCATGATTTATATTCCCGAGGTTTGACTTAAACATTGTCCTAAACGACTTCCTTTACGAGTACGGAGGGAGTACACCACAGCAAATGCAGAATATTCTTCCATTTAAGGCTGTGCGGAAACAGAAGAGACTTGCTACTCTCAAAGGATTCATTTTTGGCGTTCCATTATATTCTACTACGTTAACAATTCTTACATTTCTCACTAGAAACAAATTACAATAGCAGCAAGAGTTTATCACACCAGCTAGTACTAGTATAATTTCTATAGATCCAAATTATAAAGCGGGTACAAATGGAAACAGTTCAAGGCGTACGAGAGAAGACGATGCTTACCCGGTTCTGGTCGACGACATCAACGATGACGACGAGGCGGCCGTAGTCCTTGCCGTAGTTCACCAGGGCCACCCGCCCGATCTCCACGAACCTCTTGAACGGCTGCACGAAAGGCACAAAAAAACCCCGGTCAAACACACGCGCGCAATCCAAAGCACCACCACCACCACCACCACCGGAACGGCAACGGCGGCAAGACGACGAGCCCACGGCGATCCACCTACCATTCTCGCGGCGGCGGTCGGGAGAAGCGGCGGGGGGGGGGGGCGCGGAGAAGCGGAAAGGCAAAGAGGAACTAGGGTTCGGCGGCGGCGGTGGTGGGAGTGGCCTATAAAGGCAGCGCGCGGGTTTCCCTGAGCCGGTGGATCGCCACCCGAGGCCATCCAGCCGTCCGATCTAGGGTCAGACCGTCAGAGCGTTTATTCTGCGGGGGACCTTACTGGGCCTCCCTGTTTGGGCCCTTTCAACGCGTAATGGGCCGGCCCATTTCCGAGCTACTCAGATCAGGACTTGTGTTACGGCCTCGCCACAAGGATCGGTGCACAGTAAGATTCCGCGGTAATAATAATAAATCTGTACGGAGTCGCTGGCCTCGCCTCGCCTCGGCATCTTCTACTGCTCGCCATCGCACTCCACCTCGGGTGAAAGCCGGCGCCTTTTGGATCACCCCTCTCCTCCGATCGACCGGGTCTCTGCTGAGGTCTCCACGCCGCCGACAGGTAGCGCGAGGTAAGGGGGAAAAATATTGGCTTCTTGGTCACCGGTTTGGATGTGGCCAGTGTGTGGATTTCGTGATCAGTGGGTGTTTCTTGGGTCCTGGGATCTAAGCTCGGAAGATTAGTAGAAAGTGCTTTCCACTTCTTGGATTAGCGGTTCGGGGGTGGCCTGGTGGCTCTGATCTGATCCAGGGTCGAGTTGTTTCTGCTGAGTGGTAGAAAGTCTAGAAGAAATCTTGTTGCTCGGTTAGTTTGTTTGGTGTGATGCGTAGTGGATAGCACGGGCTAATTGCTTGTTGTTGATGTCCCTGATCTGTGTTTTGGTACAGGTACTTAGCAGTTAGCACAACTGATCCTGCAACTGAAAGCAGTTGCTGATTGGGGAATTCATTGCCACGGGTCATAGTGATTAGAAACTGTTGTGGGATCAGTGTCTCTTTAGTGAATTAGTGTGGATTTTTGTTTGCTACGGCCGATATGTTGACGCATTCATTGTTTTCTATTGCAGCTAGAGAGATGGCCGAGACAGTGTTCACTCCCTCGTTGGAGGGTATGAAGCATGTTAAGTCAGAGAGCAGTGTCATACTCACCAAGCCCTTTCTTGATGTCTGCAAGCAAATCTTGCCTGTTTTGGGTAACTGTCTTTGATTTCCATATTCAGATCAGTAGCTTGGTTCCTTTTTTAATTTGTATTTACTATGTTTAGTTCAGTACTGCGGTGGAGCAGTAAATGGTTTTCTAAGTTGAGACAAGCTTTTGGCAATTGGCAGTGGTCTATACTGTTGTTGGATTTTGCCTATCAAAATCACCAAATAGTTATGTTGGTTTGTGGGCATTTGGCATTTGATTTACCTGTAATGCTGCTACAAATAGTTGATTGGACCAATCCATCACCTCGGTAGAATTGGTCAGTGACCTTCTGAGGGTAACACCATATGATATTTAATGTAGGAGTTCAGTAAAGTTTTTTTTGGGGGTTTAGAACTTAGTTGTTGCTATATACACATTTCTAAACAATATAAGTTTTGACATACATTTGTGTGGTTGTGTTAGTACTTCAATTAAATCGTTTGTTAGTTTTAAGTCAGGGCATACTCTAACTATTGTGGCTAAGTGTTCCTTTGTCTCCTTTGTTCTCTGACTTTGTATTCCAGATAAATTTGGAGCTGCTATGGCACTTGTGAAGAGTGACATTGGTGGTAATATCACGGTAAGCATCCTTTTTCTGCATGACACTGTTAATAATACATTGTGTTTCATTCCTCATTTTCATTAGTAAATTTCTAGTGTTATCTATGTGATAGATGCATAAATCATATTTACTTTAGAATGATTTGCTTACTTAGAAGTGTCCATATCCCTTTTGGAGCCCACAGATTTCTAGTTTGTTTTGCTAACAACTGATCTAATTCATTCTTCAGAGGCTGGAAAATAAATATTCTTCAGACCCATCAAAATATGAGCAATTGTACAGCATGGTTCAGGAAGAGGTTCAAAACAAGACTGCAAAAGGTTCGTCAAGCTGCACAAATGGACTTCTGTGGCTCACGAGGTGCTTCAAACCTTCTTGGATAATTTATCACCTTTCAGTTGCAGCTTAAGCAGCCTTATTAACTCAAAATTTTACTTTCAGGGCTATGGACTTCCTTGTTGAATTATTCCGTAACCTGCTTGAGCATCAAGACTGGACTATGAGTCAAGCTTGTACTGATTCATATACCAAAACTCTGAAGAAATGGCATGGTTGGCTTGCCAGTTCTAGTTTTACAGTTGAGTCGTTCTCTCTATGTTGACCCGCATAATCAGCATATACATGGTGTTACTATAATCTCTTCAACATTATTATTTTAGTGAAATTAGAATGTTTACGCCTAAATAAACTAATGCAAGGGTGGTTCCTTCTCAAGAACTTCACTAAAAAGACAATTTTTCTGTTTTAGCAATCTTTAGAACTAGTGGAAAATCATTATTTTTCTTTCTCGAATACAGTGGAGAATCATTATAACCCAACTGTTTTCAGTCATATATGCTCTTTTAGTGAATACGTACAAGAGCACTTCAGTTCATAATTGGGTGAGAGAAGGGCTTTGCCTTTCTGTGAGAAGTTCTTTAATTTGGTCATGTTTGCTTCCTTTATTTGCTTTTCCTCCGTTTGTATGAGTGCTCATATGAGAAATTGGCAGGTGGCAATGAAGCTTGCTCCTAATAGAGAGAAATTTATGGAGGTCATTAGTGGAACGGGTGACATAAAAGCTGATATCGAGAAATTCTGCACGACCTTTTACCCTTTTCTCAAAGAGAATCATGATTTTCTGGTATGGCCTCTCACATTTTGAAGGCTTAGTCCTTTAGTCTGTAATTGTCTGATTCTAATGTGATGTCTTCCATCATACTATTCTTGCAGGCCAGTGTTGGACTTGATGATCTGAAGGCTTCTTAATGCATTCCTATGCAACAATTACCCACAGAATAAACCTGTCTTACCTGTCTAATGAAATTTAGTGCTGCCGAGGGTATGCTGTTTTCCACCTATCTTTGGAAAACTATAGGGCAATAATGAATGTCGTGAGCTCAGAACGATTGGGCAAGCCCATGGGCAGCTATACACAATGTATGTGTTGCTTTATGCAAAAAGGTCAACTGTTGAAAAGCATTCCCGTGCTAGAGGAAGTTAACATGTTACGTACTTATATGCCCTGAGAATTGTTCATCTGGGGTATCCATCAGATTTGGTATTTGCTGAGGCCTTAACTCGACTTGCACTGGAAACTGTCCACTCTCTGGGCCTTGCTGGAGTGCGAAGCCCAAACGTTCTGATGCTACCGATTCGCGTCAAAATAAGCCATTTGTTGCGGAAACATTTGTGAACAAGTCAATGATAAACTCTCCACGTTCGGAATCAATTTTTCGGTCGGCAACATGGCACTGGCAGTTTCAACACTGGAGAAGATCAATCCATGTGACGTGTTAACACATATTTTCTCCATCTTTTAGTTAAGTCCATCAATGCACGGATGGAGCGTTCATAGGTGATATAGACGCAATTCTTGAAACACGCATGATGTGCTACTGAATATGATTAACTAGACCAATTCGGTTGCACGTACGCCTCCTCACCTGACCATGTAGCGAACTAAACAAAAACATTTCCGAAGAAAATATTTATAATCGAATTGCTCCACGCTACAGGAGTTCATCATAAGAGAACTTCGTACCGTTCACAACGGTACCAGTCATTAGAATATTTACACCTAAATTTCCATTACAAATTGGGACGAGCCATACTACCCTAGAACAATCACTAGGCCAAACGTGACAAGCGCACCGCCGGGCGCTGAAGGCTTTAACGTCGTTTATTGCAGGAGCAACAAAGGACTCATGTGCAACATGACACTAGGGATCACTCTCTAGAGAGTGAATTTACTTCACTTGTGTAGAATGCTTTTTTTCTGCGCTTTGAACTTCTTCTGTGGTTGAGTCTGCACGCATAAAACAAATCAGTTAAATGAACACTTCTGCAAGAGAAAGAGGAAGTCTTACAAGATAACAATGGGAACCAACCTTCGGCTTCTGTAATGCCTCGTAGTCGATTCTGTTCTTCCATGTGCTCTTGCGTAGTTTGATTGGCCTGTTTCCAACATATTTACCTGCATGATGTTAGATGTGTTAATCATATCTGCAGTGCGACGATAATCCAGGCAAATGGTGACAGGGAATGGGGGCATGAACTTATACCATTCATCTCTTTCAATGCTGCAGCAAGATCCGACGCATTAGCAAAACTAACAAAGGCATAGCCCCTAGTTTTACCAGTCCATTTGTCCCTAATAACCTGAAGCAGAAGACGTCCATTATTAACAGTCATCTTGAAGCAGCAAAAAGGTATTATAATGAAGAATCTAAAAGCTTGCCATGCTATATACGGTGTGACTCACCCTAGCCATGTTGAAGGATGGATATTTTGAAAATGCCTTTGTAAGAACATCATCGTTCACTTCGTTTCCAAGATCGCCACAAAACAACCGAAAATCATCTGTGGATGGGGAAAATTTGTCAGATGTAAGTGTGAATGCTTTGAAATAAAAAGAGGGCACATTTGAGAAAAACAACTGTTATAGCACCATTTTTGGTCATTGCTACAGACTAAAGTAGAATAATATATTTGCTTCTATCAAATTATGACGAAACATGACAGCACAAATACATACTCATGTCAGGTGCTAGTAAATTCCAAAGACAATATAGCATCATAAGTATTTAACGCTGCCAACATTGCATGCTGCTGCTAAATTATTATACATCAACTCAGCAAGGCTGCTACATCTTAGACATGTTACATGATGGATGACACATCATGAAGTATTACAACTAAATAGTGGTATCTGATACGTCAGCTAAGCATGTAAAACTAGAAAACTGTAGCTAAAAATGCTAAATACAGTTAATATATTTAATTGTACAAAAATCTAAAAATAAGGATGACAAACAATCTGCAAGAGCTGAGCTACAGTACATGTTATATTGACTAACAGGAACGCAACATGACGAATTGATAAAATCAGATTATTGTGGAAAGTAAGTTGATTGGCTAAAAGCCTCATCCTTTATGCAATCACTAATATATGGAACAAAACTTTTTAATAATGTTCATGCTTTGTTGATAACAATATATATAAGGGAAGATCTTTATTTGGACAGTCCCCAACAAGAATCTATCACCATATTAATCCTAGGATGGTAAGTGTATCATCAAAATTACACCAGGAACATTAGAATAAAAAATATAAGTGGAATAGTTTGCACCAAAATGCGCAGTAGAACATATTTCTCTGTATAACTCTATGAAAAATTTTCAAATATCATATTCATATAATCAAATTAGGCATGCAAAAACGAGATGACAATGCATGTAAACTAATGGCAAAGGCACAGGAAATGTTTACTATATCATCTGCAAAGCCCACCTAATTCCACGAGACAGGCATCAACTCTGAAACCTGTTGGGCTACATATCACATCCTCGGCCACCTTTAACAGAAGGAAACAGGGGAAAGTTTGTCTTATTAGAATACATAGATCGAACATTAGATCTTGCCTGGGGAATTGAAGGTGTTTGATGGTTTGTTGACGTGAGGATAACAGACATTCAGACAAGTTCAGACGAGGGGAAAGTCACACTGCCAAGTTCAAGATTTTATAGATCATAGAACCACAACATTCCAACACAACCACCAGGAAGAAATAGTGAGAAAGAGATCTTACTTTCGGGCCAGTCAGCCAAAGTTGGATCCTCCCAAGATTGCCCAGCTGCCTTTCGAGGTACTGCCTTTTTGTTTGCTTCAATCTTCTTGTCTTTCTCACTATTTGCAATAGCAGCTTTCACAGTAGCTAGAGCTTCAGGAGTGATTATCTGTGAATCTTTCTGGAACAGTTGCTGAACCTGCGTCGTGGTGATACCATAATAGACTAGTTACAGCTAGTTTCCAAAATAAAAATTAGTACTATCAGGTTCTTGATTTATGAAGCTACATCCTTTTCCATTTACACTGAAATACAACTTACAGTTGCACTGAACAAGTCTCTCATCAAATGTTAATAATTCAGAGTTAGAAAACATAAACATTGGCACGCCTCCCTACATCTATAGAAATGAAATCATGACGTAGCATCTAAGATCTTGCATAACATGAGCCGAATATGTAGATTTCTGTGCATCATTCTGCAGACAGATTTCACAACCTACAAACTGTATATGATACACTGGTATAGTGCAATATGAATTGGCTTCCATTGAGTATTCCACTTTTACATTGTGTTGTCCCAAGGATGAAAGGTGGATGACGAAAGACCAAATGAGCCTTTCAGTTGAATCAAACATGACATAGCGCATTATCCCCAAACTGGCATTACTCCAAGCCTCTAAAACAACAGAGTCTAGATCCTCCCTAATCCGCCATCACCGCATCAACAAACGGGCAGTAGAATTCACACAGAAAGGAGCGGTTGAAAACGTAATCAGAAGAAGAGGGGCAGAGTTCCTACCTGCTGGACTTGGGGCATGGGGTAGACGGCGTTGTACGCCGCGGGCGCCGCTGGCCAGGTGGCGGGCTGCTGCACGTTCTGGAGGTGGAACGGGACGGGGAAGTAGGACGGGACCGCCGCCGCCGCGGCAGCCGGGTACGAGTACTGCGCGGACGCGGCCGCCGCGGCGGGCGAGATGGACTGCGTCGACATCGCCGGCGAGGCAACCAACCAGAGTGCGGAGGCGCGGCGCGGGAGGGGGCGATCGTACGGGCTCACGCGGCGTCGCGTGCGATGTGTTTGTTGATCTCAACGGCCCGCGCGTCTGGTCGCGGATTGCAGGTGGCGTGAGCGCGAATCGGTTGGGTTGCCGGGGGAAGCAGAGGCTGTGTATTGTGATGATGCGCCGCGTGGTGGTAGGGGGGAATGGTGTGGAATTCTCTCGAAGCTCCTGGGCGTTACTGGCGATCACACCACACGGAGGAGGAGGTCCACGGGGAGATCCGCGGAAACCGGCCGCGATTTGGCTTACGGGCGCTAGCTTAGGCCCAGGAAGGAGGGGAATACGTGGGCTAGCCACGGGAAGGCCCCCCCGTGAGGCCGTGGCCCGTGTATGTGATGCGGCGCGCGGCCTCCTCGCGCTGCGCAGTGCGTGTGCGTGGACGTTGAGCCGTGGACTGGAGATGAGGCGTCCCCACCGGGCAACACGCGGCAGCTGGGCGGGGTCGGGTCGGGTCGGGTCCGGCCACGCACGGAGGCGAGGCGGACAGGCGGTTGTCGGATCACGCAGACGGAGGGACAGCGCCGCAGCCCGCAGTTATTTGACACGGTTCGGGCGGACGCTTGGAGAGGCCGAAGTAGCAGTAGCCCGGCATCGCGCGGAGGCGGAGCAAACACCGCGCGAAGGTGACGTCGCGGCCCGACAGTGTGTCGAGGCTTGCTGATTGTCCATGATTACTTTTTCTATTTCCTTTGTCATTTTGTCATTTTGTGATAGAGTATGGTGGTGTTATTTTTTCATGAAGATGAAGATTAAGTTTTTTCTGCAAAACGAGATGGTATTAACGCATGATTGATTGAGTTTTCATTATTACAAACTTCAAAAATAGATTAATATGTTATTTTAGAGCAACTTTCATATAGAAAGTTTTTACACGAAATGCACGATTTAGCAGTTTAAAAAACGTACCACGAAAATCTTAATTTTCATCCAACTCCTATTGGAGAAAAGAACAGGGCCTATTTCTTTTAGTCGTGAAAGCCTGTTTTTGAGTCTTTGGTACCAACATATGAAATATTTATGATACCATAATAATATTTATCACTAAACCAATAATACTTGATGATACCAATGATAATTTGAGTTACCATATCATGGTATCTCGAGGTGTCGTACCAGTCCATAATATATCGATCTATCATTCTGTATCGTATAGTACTATATAATATCATATCATGGTACCTTGAGATATCATGATATTGATTTATTATATTGGTATAATGTAATACTTGATACTATGTCGTGATATCTCTGGATAGTACGCTTGATGATACTCAATGATTCTTGTTGATATACACGCGATAAAATACTTGATGATATTCAATGATATTGGTCCATACATACTTGATGATACTTATCAATATACGATGATACTCAACGATAATCATGGGTTTTAAAAATGATCGATATTGATGTAGTATCACGAAGGTAAAATCGAGTTACTTCATGCATGGTATCATGACATCCTTAGAATAAATCTCGGTATTAGAGGGGTATTTTATTTTTTTCAAGGATCAACTCCCTCCATTTGCATCGGCCAATTAGCCGCATTCTAGTTAATTTGCAACCTTAGAACTTAGAAGAACAACACACACATGTATAGACATCCACGTCAAAGCTAGCGCCGCCGACGACGCACGTATAGTATTTGGCCGGTTACATTCCGCTGTTTTCTCCAGCAGACAAAACAATTATTGCATTGCATTGGTACGTCTCTTCAATTCCATTCAAAAAATTATTGCATTGCAATATTGGCCTCTTCCAGAGAGAGAGGCTCAAGTCCCATCAAAACAGAAGCAAGCTAACGATCGAGCGAGATCAACTTGGCAAAGCGAGAATCTTGCGAGTTGGGTGCCGGCTTTGGAGGCATCGCTACGCACAACCCCTGTGGATTCCATTGCCCCCACTAATGATCTCTCACAACGGTTTTAAAATTGTTCAGGGTACATGCCTGCAAATTAATTAAGCGATCAGAGCTAAGCTAGCTAGCTACATCTGGCTTATGCATGCACTTGGAGTACACACGTATATTAATTAAGCATGCCTGGATTATGGAGTATTCGCGGCTAGCTCACATGCATACATGCATGGGGTTTAATTAGGAGCAACATTTGGCAGGAATCAAGTACGCCTAGTGCAGAGTGTTAAGTTTTCTCTAACTTCTTTTGGCGTCAGGCGTACAACCCTAATTAAAGTATACCATCCCTCTATTTTCATAATATAAATTTTGTTTGGAATTATCTTAAGTCAAATTTGTTTACATTTGACTAAGTTTATTTGACTAAGTTTATAGAAAAGTACAACAATGTTTATTTTCATTGCAAAACAAACAAACTTTTAAAAAGTATATTAAAATGAGTCAACATATGTAGCAACCATCTAACCATGTGCTTTCAGCTAGGAACGTACGTCCTTGTTCTCCAAAAGTTAATCCAAATCGGCAATGGGCCCTTAATCGCACGGACCCTTGCATGCATGGGCCGTTCTGTTGCAGCCGCGCGCCTTGCCAACCGCGCAGGTTCACCGCCCCTGCCAGCACCCTGCAACATTCCATTGAGAGTGATTTTATACTGTTTTCAATTCAAATGATGGTACATCATCCTCAATGACAATAAATTTTTCTTCAATTTAAGGTAGAAAAGGTGGAGGAAGAAAGCATTCGTTTAGACCAAACCGGCACATCAATGTATGTATGTTTTGCATTATCACCAGCTACACGCATTTACGACTAATTAATTTTTTAAGTGATAAATGATATATCCGTCGACAGCAAGGTTTCTAGATGTTTATGGTGACTTCGGCCCTGTTTACATCCCGTACCAAAACTTTACACCCTATCACATCGAACATTTAAACACCTACATGAAGTATTAAATATAGACTAAAAAATAACTAATTGCTTAGATTATGATTAATTTGCGAGACGAATATTTTAAGCCTAATTGCTCCATTGTTTGACAGTGTGTTGCTACAGTAAACATTTACAAATGATGGATTAATTAGGCTTAATAAATTCGTCTCGTGGTTTACTGACGGATTCTGTAATTAGTTTTTTTATTAGTACTTAAACACGCCATACGACACCCTATATAATATCTGATGTGATACGCTAAAACTTTACACCCCTAAATCTAAACACCCCCTTTGTGAATCTCCACATAGATAGTACTTGTAGGGCCACTAAACCCTTTTTCCCATCTTTTTCAGCGGGATAGCTACTTTTGCATCCGGCCAATTTCCTTGATCAAGTGGGGCGGAAGGTGTCCAGTTTTTATAGCCAGGCAGATCCCTTCCCGTGAATACAATTGCCTCCTTGGTGTCCCATGATCGCCCAACTTGGTGGATCACAAGTACATTTGGTATATATCTAAATCAAATCACATCGTGACGACGAATTTATATTTCAATATTGCACATTTGCATCAATACTTGAGTATACACAACCAATACATTCTCCAATACAGGTGATAACTAATAATAAATACAACTAATAGCTAATAATTAGCAAGACAAAATTATGTGGCTTTTAGCACGACACAAACGCAAACCCGTCTAGCTAGCTAGCTGGTTAATTATTATTGACGTGTTCTTTTTTTTTATTTGGTTTAAAATCGATCGAAGATTCGAAGGGTAACACTCACATTTCGGCGATTTCGCCATAGCCCCCAGCCCCTGTCGCTAGCTTTAATTTCCCTCTCATCGTCCCTATACGCATCGCGCGGTTTGCAATTTTGCATCGATCTATGACGATGACCTCAATGACAACACATACAGTACACAGTAGCAGATCGGCGACGTCCGTACTACCGATCCTTGGCCACACAATAAATGGTGGTACTACACGAATGTTGCTTCCAGATGCACGGTTGGATGTTTCGTTAACAAATTAATATGGTTGCTTCAATCGTTATTAGACAGCTACAGCTTTGTATAAAGTTCATGTCCATATGTGCATGCTGGCTTAATTAGTTGCAGCTAGTAGGTCTGGAGTCTGTGAGAGAACTCCATCTGTTCTGTTTGCATTGACTATAATACAAAAACGGATCAGCAATGATCTAATTAATTATCTAACAAGAAATAGTTGGTTAGTGTATTTTCCCCCGTGCAATAATCGACCAATTTTGCAGAGCTAAATTGTAAAAGTAAAATAGGATATTATATATACCAGTACTCTCTCTCCTTAACTCATAGACATTTTGATCATTGTACGCAGAACAAGCCAACAATTTAGTTGAAGATTTGCGATGAAATAGGCGGTGACAAATATCCAGAGTAGGGGCAAAGTTGTAATTTTACTAACGAAAGTCGTGGTGACGAGTATTTTAAAATAAATGATTTTGTCAAAGTTGATAATTATTCAAAAAACGGATGGTGTATTAGTTGTTATTTACATAATTGTATCTTGTATATTTATAATGGACTTAGAAAGTATAATAATTACATTATTTGATATACAACCTCTTATCTTCAGATTTCACAGACACAATTTTGTATGCAACATTTTAACAATCTAACACGATGATTAAGTGGTGGAAATATTTTATTTTTTTCCCTAATTGATGTGGTAATTTTTTTCTAGACCTCCTGAATGGATGTGATGGCTTTTTTTGTCTAACCAAGCTCATGCTTTCAAAAGCTTTAACCAAATTAATACGAGAACCTAATTAAAGCTTACCCTGTCATGGAATTGTTTATTTGCCTGAATGGATGTGATATACTCTCATTATTGTCAGTAGGTCCTAGAACGAACAGACAATGATTAGTTTAGTTTACTATACTGGTACTGTATAAATTAATAAATTAATTAGTATATGTATTAAACATTGTGAAATGACACATTAATTCCTACATACAGTTTTTTAGATAAGCATATATCTATCTATCTATCTATTATATTATTAAAACAGCCTTGAAAGAAGACACCACGTTCGCTGTGGAGGCTAGAAATTCTCATATTAATCGGAGAAAATATGAATTATTTACACCGTTAGATTGTTAGGTCTATATTTTAACATATGAGATTTAACATAAATCCGGCATGTTAAAGTAAGAGATAAGGAGCACCGTACACGTGCTGAATTAGAATCAATCTCAAACTAGGACCAAACATGCAAACGGACTCAACAGAGTTGTCCGATTTCCGAAACTAAACAGATTTAGGACCTAGATGAATTAGGCAATAAATGAAGCAGCAAGCAACAAAGCACTGC